CCCACTAGGACAGCCAGTAGGGGAAGTCACATGAGGTCAGAAGGAAGAGAAAAAGCCAAAGGGAGTATGGCTTAGTAAGATAGATCCTGCCTCAGAGTGGAGCAGGCTATGGATTCAACCCTGAGTCTCTACCCACTGTGGGGTAGAAACAATTTTGGTACTGTTTATTGAATAGTATGAATGACTATAACATACAAGGTACAGTAAGTCAGCTTCAAGAGGAAGGCTGGAAAGTTCTAGGAAATATCTAACTCATGGTGGTGATTAGAGCACTTTACTGGGAAGTCGCAGATAGAGGTTAAAACTTCACTGCCTCCTGCTTCATGGACCAGTGTACTAACCAGTACACAGCTGAAATGTAGGAGGAACTTTCTCTTTCATTCTCAGTGCTGTCTCCTTATTTCTGTTTATACCACTCTGCATAGAAATAGAATCGAAATTGTGCATAAGTGCCACTTAGGCACCTTAAAGTGAAATAGGGTTTTGTCCCATGAGTTCACTGTCAAAAATGTCTGCTTTGTGCTAGAATAACTAACCCACATTAGCTATCTGACTGCCTTTCTCACAGTAAAGACATAGGTTTTCTAATGCTTTTACATAGAGTTTTAGGCATATTGGAAAATCAGGTCGGGTATGAACTACACTTTGTCTCTGAAGCCTGAGTAACTTTTTGTGACTGAAGATAATTATCTTGTGAGCCCTGTGTCAGAATGACTTATGTTAATTTTTGTATTTTTGATACAGAACCAAGCTCGGTTAAATATGTAAATCACAGTAAAGATTCTGAATCAATAACTGTCACCTGGCCACCTGCACAAAATATATTTGATGGCTACATTGTTTCAATAGTCAGCAAAAGCTTCAGCAAAAAAGAAATATTATCTTCCAGTGTAAGGTACGAGGATTTTATTTTAGTACCCAATCCTCGCCCTCCAAAAGAAGGTACATGTCCAGCTGAACATTTGAAGAGTCTATGCTGCAGAGTTATTTAGTAGGTTTTTTTAGAATATATCCATGCACACTTACAATCAAGAAAAAAAAAGGAAAATTTCCAAGGATTGGTTTGTTAAAACACATTCAACAGGTTAAGTTCTATAAATACAAAAGCCCAAATTCAGACCCCGGATTTGAAAAACTGCTCAGCAGATTCTGGGCACAACCATGTCTAGATCTAGACTATTGTGAATTCATGGTACCTGAGGTTTGCATGTAAAATAAATGCAGGACAAAAATCATGGACAGACTTAAGAATTTTTTTAAAGAGGGGTTGTGGTGTACTTCTCCTCAGGCCATGAGGGGGTGAGGGTGCGGAATGGTTGGAGTCCTTAGTCTAGTCACTGGGGAGCAGGGCAAAGAGCATGCCACATACACAAAAGGGGGGACCTGTCCTGTCTGCTCCCACCTCTGTCCCCAGCTGACCTGTGAGAAGGGGGAGCCCCAGAGCTGCTCCTGCCCTGCTCCAGTTCCACTCCAGCTGAGGCTGCAGGAAACAGCTGCACAGGGAGCTGGGCTTGGTTGGGAATAGTAGCAGCAGCACACAGGTTCCTCCTTCTGGCCTGTCCCCACTACCACTTCGTACCCTGCTGGCTAGGAGCAAGCACTGGAAGGGGGAACCTATGTACTGCCACCACCATCATTGTTCCTGGCTGGGCCCAGCTCTTGCATAACTGCCCCACACAGCCCATGGCTGAAGCAGATCATGAGCATCTCTGGGGCTCCCTTCATGCCTGCAGCAGCTGGGGTCTGTTGCAGTGGAAGGAGATTGTGTCTACACTGTTATACTCCCCTGGATCTGCTCCTGGAACCAATAATGGGTCCTCTTAGGAATCAGACTTTTTTCATATACAAGTGTTCTGTAGTACATATGATATATGTATACATATGATATATATATTTACTTAATACATACTCAAACCATAATTTTGTTAGGGGTGTACAGTGATAAGCTATATTTTTTTTAATTAATGAAAATATCTGTTTTATTTACATATGAAGAACATTCAAATTTGATGGCCTTCTTCCAGGGACTGACTACTTATTTAATATTGTGACTACCAATGGATTAAAAAGAAGTCGTCCTACCATGCTCAAGATTAGCACTAGTAAGTTCATGATTGATTAATGAAAATGTATAAAATGTATAACTCTACGGAAAATATAATCACAAAACTTAAAATGAATTGATTAGATCACACATTTGTAACATTCTTAGTATTCACACCAAAGATCCTAAAACATGACTTTGAAAGATGTACGTAATTTTCCTCTTTGTTTTAATAGAAATGCCATCAATTCTTGGTTCATTAATTATTTTAACATAATGATATATACATACAAAACTTTTTCTCAGTTTTCTTTGTAGGGTTAAATTCAATCCTTCCCATATCCATTTGAGATGTACATGTACAAATAAACTAATAATACTGATTTACAGAAATAGCATCTATAAATGCTATTCACCCTTGAACAAGTATGGTATGTTCTAATATTAACTGATATATATCTTTTATCTTTTTCTTAGATCCTGCTCCACCCTCTGATTTACAGGTTTTAGGGAAA